TTCAGAGGAAAAAACTAAAAACAAAACAACGTTTTAAAACTTTGACACTGTCCGTTTGACTCTTCAGACTGATTCAGACCAGGATTCAGGCCCTTGTTTCAGACTGAGCTGAGGCTGAACTGGTCCAGTGGTAAACCGTGTCAAACAGCTATGTCTGTGAACTGAAATCTTGACCAGTTTGAGGGAAAGGTCAGTCGGTCTGAAGCTAAGATTTAACAAGACAGATCTATTCAGTTGGTAGTGGAAGTAACAGAAGGTCAAAGTAAAATTACTCATGTCGCACACTGTGCTAAAAATACAAATAATACTAATGGAGTCGCAACAAAAACGCAACGATACAAAAAAAAAACCCGTAAAAATCTGTATTTGTGTGTGTTTTTTTTCTCATATAAACAAAGCTTCGTGTCACGCGTGGGCCCGAGCCTCGTTTCCACTCGTCTTCCTTTCGTTTACAATCTGCGCTGACTCAGCAGTAGCCGGCCGGTGTGGCGCGAAACGAAAAGCGATTATTATTATTAATATTATTATTATTAAATATTATTATCAAATGTTACTATTAAATATTAATATGTACTAACACTACCAATAATAATAATTATTAATATTATTGACATTTGTCCATTAATAAAAGTGATTTATGTTTCGTTACCGATTAATACAAATACCGCGATTATCAACCGTTTTTAGCCCTAACAAAAAACATTTTTTGTTTCCTTTAAAACGAAAATGTACTCCGTCGTGTCTTAAATCAATCACTACATAGGTCAATATAGTTTAATTGGTGTATTTTATGCAGAAAGTAAAACTTTCTTTTTTTTTTTTGCTTCGTTACTCATTTGTGGGAACACCAGGAAATATCTTTAAAAAGTTTTAGTTTTAGCTGGAAACAAAAAAAAAAAATTCAATAATTGATTTTTCATATTGTTTTGTGATGGGTGGATACGCATTTTGTTTTAAGTAAAACTATTATCTTAAAACCTGAGATTAGCTGTCTCTAATGTCGTTGATGGACAAACATAATGATATTAAAGGATTCTTTAACGTTAGCTATTTAAAATTCAAATAATGAACATTGTCCTATTATGATGATGATTACTCAAACTTGGACTTAAATTAATGATAAAAAATTAAAAATTTTAGTATGTAGTATTGGAATTGTTCACACTTTTGTTCTTAAATTGTTTTTTTTTAGTTTTGATTGAATCTAACAAATATATTAATTTATAAAAACTCAACCCTCTCAATATATTTTTGTGCTTTTCTCTTTTGTTGCCCTTTTTGTTTGGTTTCCCTCAATATATTTTCGTGCTTTTGTTGCCCTTTTTGTTTGGTTTCCGTCTTTTTTCCTGACCACACAGCCGCGCTGTTTACCCAAACCGACAGTCATCGGCAGGTGAAACCTCAACTAAAGAACTAAAATAATCGTTTCGTGAACAGAAACCGTGATACCGATATATGATTATATATATATATAAATAATAACATCTTAAACAGCATAGAAAAACCCGGAGAAAATGAGGAAATCAAAGCAAACAAAAGTCCATTCTTAGATTTTGTGACAAGTAGATATAACGCAGTTGTAATGTCACGGATCATTTCTGCTGCAGTTAGAATTTCATGCGTATTTATTGAGTCTTTCTTTTCTTTTTCTTTTTTTTTTCTTTTTTTTTTTTGGTTACTTTCTTTGGCTTTTATTGCTTGATTCAAGCCAGATGCATTTTCTCTAAACGCTCCTGCTGACTTCATAATTTGAAATTAGTTTTCTTTATACTTTTTACTTTTTTTTTTTTTTTTTTTGGCGCGGGTCCTGCGTAAAATCAGTGCATCACTTTCTATAAATGACTCCGCGAGATAAATAAAAGCCCACGAACGGCCCCACACACACACACACACACACATAGACTCTCACACACACACACCTTTTTTTTTTTGGGAGGAGAGTTTGTTTTCGGGAATCAATATTTCATTCGCCTTTTCCTGCTTGTTTGAGCTCAGTCCAAGATTTTTTTTTTTTTTTTTTTCAGACGTCGGTACGAACCGAACATTGTCTCGGCAGGAAAGGAAGGCTGAACGAAAGGGAGGGAGTCGGGGGACAAACAAAAAGGGAAAAAAAGACAAGAAAAGGGACAGTTTAGATTAATTTATTGAAGGAAACGTGGAAGGAGGAGAAAATAGGAGAGTGAACAGGAGAGGGGAAGGGGGGAAATAAATCACAAAGAGAATTAGGAAATTATCCAAAGAATAAGATTAGAACTAATAAAGGATGAATATGGAGAATATGAAGGGTATGATTGGAAAGGAAGGGAAGAGGGAAGGAACAAATAAAGGAATAGGTGGGAAGGTAGGACGGGCTGAGACTGACTGAAATGAAACCTGTTCCAAAACATGTCACCTTACTGAGGACCTGGACTAAACATACTAAATACGAATATATTCACCGTATGTCACATAATATATGCGCGTATGTTTTACACCTTTCACGCACGGGACTCCATTGCGCTTCTGCCTGACAAATAATAAACAAACAAACAAACAAACAGAGAAGACAATACACGATATCACCGATAGATCGGCGATATCGATGTCCCCGAACATGGGGATATGTTTTGCGTCAATTCACCCGAATCTAATTATACGACAAGGTCAGCGGGTCAGGGAATAAAAGAAAATAATTACAAAATCATTAAATCTGTGGTCACATTAGCTACGAAACTGAGTCGTTGTAAAAAAAAAAAAATCCATGAGAAACTGCAGCACATTAAAAAAAAAAAAAATCATTATTCTACACCTGTCACTCTCAATCTCTGGGTCAGGGCCCACAGAAGGAGCGACATAAGGTTTGACTTGGTCACTGTTTTTTTTTTTTCAATCCCTTGCTTGGAAATTTTTTGATATGCATTCACAAAGGGATATTGGTTATGAAAATAAACGAATAAATAAAACACAATAAGCAAGTATATATATATATATGGATTTAACAATTACGATCATCTCCATAAATCATACATAAATGTCACAGGTCATAAATGTCAAGTTATTAGTAAGAACTTTGGTCGAATATGGGACCAAAACCATTAAGAGCCACATATTTTGACACGTCGACAATAAATTCACATCAGTGTCAACACTGAGAATCGGCTTCTCTGCTGTGATCGAAACAAATACGTTTCTATTGAAACTCACAAACAAACAAACAAACAAAACATGCCCGGTGAAGGAAAGTGAGCAGATCAGATCTTAGCAGAAGATTCTTCCAGCAGTGCTGTCATTTCTCTGTGCTGTCAGTCACGAGTTTATTATTAACACCGAGACAGAGACACACAGGTGCTCCATAGCCTGATGTATTATTAGGCTACTTATTAACATGTGTCCCGGCAGTAAAAGAAGAAGCCACACTAGGACTGTGTTCAGGTAGGACCGAGGACTGAGTGGAGTTCGTTAACAGCCAGTACCGGTGATCTGGTCTGCTCTGGACAGGTGGATTTTTTCCAGTGAACATCGACTCAAAGATCGTGGTCAGGACGCACTTGTCTTACTGTACACGGCCAAGGAGATTTCAATAGTTCCAGTGCTACACCTCCATGAAGATGTTTAACCACGCATCCTGTTCTGGAGGATAGTTTTTCAATAATGACAATGATCAGTGCTACCTGCAGTTTTAGGTTTAGGGTGTGACACTGGGTTCGATTCCCAGAGGAACCACATACTTGGCGCCACCAAGGGGCCACCTGTGGCAGCAGATCTGGTGTTGACACAAGAATTTCTTAATATTGTTTTAATGAGACTTGCGAACTCCTTTCAGGACCATAAGGATCGATCAGATGATCAGGAGCAGATAGATGGAGCGATCGTGTGAACTAAAAGTCATGCATAAAGGCTAAAATGCTAAAATGCTTTTAGCATTTTCTACTCCATCTATTGGGGAAACGTGGGTATTGCAGGGAAAAGGCAGAAGTATAATGATAATATAAATAAATTATATGATTTGGAAAAGTTTGGTGGGCCGGATCAAAAAGCTGATCGGGCCACATCCGGCCCCCGGGCCTTAGTTTGCCCATGTCCGGGATAGATGTTTGTCCCGATAATGGATGAGATTTTCTTTTTACACGTTATAGGTCCTTCTTGCTAGAACAAACAAACAAACTCTTTCTGTACATTATGATCACACTTCTACAGAAAGAATAACAGAATAGACCCTAGTATAACCCTAGTACACATTTGATATGATCTCGCGGGCCAAATATAATTACACTGTGGGCCAGATTTGGGCCCCGGGCCAGAGTTTGACATGTGTGGTGTAAACAACACCACCCAATTCACATGTTGTTGCTTTTTTTTTTGTTTTAATCATTATTAGTCTATCTCACAAAAGTTAATTGAAAATTTACCAAACGTTTGAAATAACAGCAATATTAAAATAATAAAATAAAAATAATAAATAAAGGTGGTATTAAGGCATATAATGTTCAAAGGGCAGAAAAACAATCAATAAATGCTCAGTAGGTTCCAAAGTGTCAAACATGCTGCACAGCAGCTTGTTATTGTTTAACATTTGTACCTTAATATACAACGTCTTTTCAACTTTTATTTGTCCTGTAAAGTAAAGTCTTTTCCCACAGCGAGTTGTGGCTTCGGATTAGTTTTCTAACGCCTCCTCTTCCTCCTTCTCTCCACACTACATCCCTCCCTCCCTTCTCCTCCTCTTTGTCTCTCCTCCCTTCTCTCCTCCCTCTATCAGCCAGTGCGCTTGTTGGCACAGCAGAGATTGAAAGTGACACAGTCTCTACGCCGTTTCCACTCCCGCTCCACGCCGCTCTTCACCCGTACGGACCCGGCGGTGTATTTTCCCTGCGTTTTTTTTTAAACGGTGCATTGTTTACTTCTTTCTCTCTCTCTTTTTTTAAATTATTTTTATTCCTCATATACCTTCTTTCTATCTCTGTATCCTCCGAGCCTGTGTCTGTGAGTTCACCGGGAAGAAGACTTCTCGTGCGTAAAGACGTTGCAGAGCTGAACGGCACAAGAAACCGAGAGAACCGCGCAGCAGTTGTTGTCGTTGCCAAAGTTTCTCTATCCGATTCTCCATCTATCTCTATCTCTTTTTTTTCTTCTTCCTAATTCCTTCCCTGCGGACGCACATCATTCTTCGTACCTTCGCTCCTCCGCTGCGGTCGCCGCTGCCGCCGCCGCTGCTGCCGCTGCTGCGTTCAGGCACACTCGTCTCTCTCTTTCCTCCCACCTCACACCGTCGACACTCCGTGAAACTTTGCCCGCCTCTCCGTCCTCCCCTCTTCCTCCCGCTGTCTTCCCGTGGACAGTCCTCCGAGTGCACTACGAGCGTACAACCGAACCCCAGGCCGCACAGAGCAGCTCCAGCCCTGGATTCGTTACTGCTGATCAATGGACAGAGCCTCGTCAGCGGCCAGCAGCGCTACAGACACGCGGTGAACAGTGAGTGTGCACGCTCACACACACACACACACACACACACACATACACACACACACACCCTCTCCCTCTCTCTCTCTCACACACACACATACACACACACACACACACCTACAGTACCATTTAAAAATCCATCCAACGTACCGTTACGCAAACACGTTCACCATTTAAAAATCTTTAAAAAAACGATTGTATTTATGGTTGACTATTAACAAAATAAAGCTGATTTTGATATATATTTTTTTAAATAATTACATTCAGCCATTTCTTCCTTAAATTTGATATTTACTGAAAATGTCCAATTCTTGCAGTGGTTCCGTGTTATATAAAATTTCATGTCACTCCAGTTTTATTACGGTAATGCTGTTTTTACCTGCATTTGTTTGGTAATAAATAAAATAGAGTCTGCCATGCCGTTTATTTATGCGTTACTAGCACTAGTTCCGTGCAGTTAAATGTTTTTTGTTAAACTTTAAGCTAAACAAAGTGTGAAATGACGCATTTAGGGTTTAAACATTACACAGAAGTGCAGCTGTGTGTCGGTGTTGTTAGCCTTTAATATGAATGTCTTCGCTATTAGCGGTGACGTTTCTTGTTTTAAATGTGACTTCTGGCAAAACGCCACTCATATGGAGGTGTGTGTGTGTGTGTGTGTGTGTGTGTTATAGACAACCTACGGTTTAAATATTTAAGGAGCTTGAACCGTTATGGTTCAAAGCACAAAAATAACGATTTATAAGCGACCTCGTGACGAAACGTGTCGCTTAATGGCCAAAAGGAAATGTTACTCACACTATAACAACAGAAGCAACGTTACAAGTTACGAGTTTTATTTTTTTTAAAGTTTAACAAGGGTTTGTTTTCGGAAAAACTACAAAACGACCAAGTGAAGTAAAAGCTCGTCTCACCGTGAAAGAATTAAAGGGTTCGAATTAACGTCAGACTGTGAGGAGCTCGAGTTTATGGAGCCACACTCCTCGACAGGTCAGGGTGTAACCTCTGACCTGCTCCAATTGAAATATTTCTCCTTATATGATTGGAAAAAGATCGATCACGTGATGTTTACAGTTTTCTACAGTTGGAAAAGCCGGGAAATAAAAAAAAAAGGTACTTGACAGTTATTTTCACTCTGACCCGAAAAAAAACTGTACTTGACAGTTATTTTCACTCTGACCTGGGAAGAAGGTGTGTGAACTCTGACTGAAGCAGAACTTAGAGTTACCGTGTGTGTGTGTGTGTGTGTATGCGAGTGTGTGTGTGTGTGTCTAATTCGTGGTTTATTTTTTTATAAATACACAAAAATGACGTTTTAAATCTTACTTTTATGACAGACAATAACGAACACACACACACAGCAGCAGTCAATGACAAATACACAAATATATAATGAAATAATGTGAACAGTGTGTGCCTTCGAGATTCGATTCCGTGAATAATAAGCAAACTAGAACCGACTAGTCACCTTTTTTCTTCCCTTTTTTTCTACTTCTGACTGACTGTCGACCTCCACTCCATCAGTAGTAACCGTGAAATCGACTGACATGGTGTTTTTCCCTAACGGTGATATAATGGAGAAATATGGTTAAATACTTTATTTTAAGAATTTATTTTAAGAGTACAACAGTAGGAGGAGGTCGGTGAAAGCTGCATAGACTCGACGCACAGCGGGGGGTAAAAAAAAGAAATAAAGAAATACGACTGTGTGACAAATGTGGGCAGTTTTGATGAGAGAGTGAAACACGCGTGGGGCCTGAGTCTGTTCCAATCACAGGGAACTGGAGCCAAATCAGAAACAGAGACACGTTTCTGCCGCCGCTGTCACTAACAGAACCACGCTGTGACCCGAACAAAACCATTTCCTGTTTAAGTAAAAAAAAAAAGAAAAAAAATTCCTGTTTAAGTAAAAAAAAAAGGGGAAAAAAAATCAGATTTAAACCAAGACTCAATTCTGACACTCTGACACTCAGACGAACATTAGGTTAAACAACCATAACAAAACGAGCTCCTTGTGTCGACGATTATTATTTTACCCTTTCACACGGAAAACAAAGATTGTTATTCATAGTTAATGGGAACTAACGACACAGACACATGAAGATATTTGAGTTTTCGAGTCAACGAATGGAAACAAAAAATAAGTATGGATTAAAAGGGTTTTTTTTTTAGGTTAGCAGGTGAAGACAGGTACGGATGTCCTGAAGGAGAAGAGAGAGGAAAGACACGAATCTGCTCTCTTAAAATTTAACTTAGTTTAAAAAACTTTTTTTGAAGTAGAACTTTTGTTTAAAACAATAGCTAAAAAAAACAAATTCCAGATTTTTCCAGTTATTAAACGAATCAGAAAGTTTTCACGTAGGCGTCAATAATGTGACAGAAATGTCATTTAAACACGAGTTTGTGACGTCACACAGAGAGCAGGAAACGATAAACAATGATTTATATAATTACCAGCGAGATTAATTATTATTATTATTATTAATATTATTATTATTATTATTATTATTATTATTATTATTATAGGCCTGACGGTGACCGTTTCAGGCAAAATTCAGAATTAATATTAGAGTTAAATGAAAACTTTCAGGCAGCCGCTTATTTTTATTTAAATACGTATTTAACCTAAAGGGCAGATTAAAATAATAATAATAATAATATACCATCAACTATTAAAATTAAAATATATTTGATAAAAGTAAAAACATGACGTCTGCCAGGAGGTAATAATAATAATAATAATAATAATAATAATAACAATAATAATACGATTATTCCTGTTAGAGAAATTTCAATCTAAATATCAGTAATAAATAATAATAACCGTCATAATGAGACTTTGCGTCTTTGGGTGCAGTTGTGCGAGAACATGTTGTCTTTGGTTTCAGTGACGGCGTTTGTATGATTTAAGGGTCTACACACGTCACGAATATTGGTCTGTTGGGAAACGAGTACATGTATGTGTGAGTGAAAGACAGTGGCAGCCGTGTCATCGTACTGACAACAGTATTGTTCGTACATGAATGCATTTGTTCATTGTAATACTTTCAATATGTTCGATTTGATTTGAGTCTTGGAGAAATAGAAAAAAGACATTTCTAATTCTGATATTCACAACACTTTTTAACACATCGTTTAATGCTTTAGTTCTTCTTAAGTTCTGATAAAAAAACCATATTTTTATTGTTCTTCCGTTTCCGTTGCACTAAATGTGAATTGCTCACGTCTGACCTTTGCAGTACATTTTTAAATTAAATTTATTTCAATCTAAGTTAAGCTAAGATTTGCTGCAAGTTTGTTTTTACTATTTTTTACCTGTAGAAAAAAATACTAATATCTTTTTATGTTTTTTTTATTATTTAAATGTATTAGTAGCTTTTCTAGACTAGAGAATTTTAGAAGTCATATTTTCTTAAGAAAGAAAATACAATCTATACAATCAAAACACACATTTTTGTATTTATTTTATCTTATTTCATCTTCGTTCACTAATGAAGTCCTATTTCTGAGCTTCATTATAGAGAGTTTTAGGCTCTGGTGGGCAGAAAATGAAAAACTATTGTTTATAACAAATTAAATATTCAGGACATTTAAAAAAAGATTGTTTCAGGTTTTAACATAATTACATATACAGCACGGAGATTAAAAAAACATGTCATTTAAAAGATAATATTCTCAAATAAAACGTTTTTTTTCTCCATATCATGTCAAAAAGTTCCAACAATCACTATTTAACCTTTGAATGGCTATACAAAAATGGCCAAAAACTGAAATGAATTGACATTTTGGATAAAAAAAAAAAATTATGTAAAGCCATAGAAATTGAATAAATGCCGGTAAAACCTCGAGAAGCCCATGTTTAATGTCCAAAAACTGCTCTGATAAGTGGAGCTGATGATAAGAAATTAATGATGGTGTCATGGTTTTACAGTGTGTTAGCAGATACCTGCTCACATAAGTAACACAGGTGTGTCTGTGCTGCATTAGACCATAGATAAGATAGTGGAGGGAGAACAAGAGAGAGGGAGAGAGAGATTCACAGCCTCATTCACTCAGTTTATCATCACTCATGACAAAGTCAAAAGTAAGCGGGGAGAATCTGACCTTAAGACGTGACCTTATTTCTCTTCTTTCCTTTTTTTCTAAAAAAAAAAAAAAAAATCTCAGCGTTTATTCCCGCTGTGGCGAAGCTGCTGAAGCTGCTGAATCTGCGGTTGGGTTTTGGACTCTCTCTGAGGTTTTACACATATGAGCGGCCGCTTTCTGACCGGGACAGAGAACTGAGAAAGCCACACTTGAGTAATAGAACTGGTATATGCCACTAGAATATGACTTCGGTTTAGTCACAGATAGAGGCAGCTATTATTAGAATGGATTTAAATCACTTGTAGGTCAGCGCAGGGAAGAAAAAAAAAGACTTTAATCATTTTAATAATCATTGAATAATCCTACTTTAATTTTAACCTTAATTCAAAAATAAAAAGTGAAGCAGTAGAAAAAGCACAAGGCCAAGGTAAATGTAAATCATATACAGCAGGCATGGGCAAACTAAGGCCCGGGGGCCGGATGCGGCCCGTTCAGCTTTTTAATCCGGCCCGCCAAACTTTTCCAAAATACAATTTATCTATATTATCATTATACTTCTGCCTTTTCCCTGCAATCACCATGTTTTGGCGTAGAAAATGATAAAAGCATTTTAGCATTTTAGCATTTTAGCCTTTAAGCATGACTTTTACATGTCATTTATCTTCACACAAACGCTCCATCTGTCTGCTCCTGACCCGGCCCCCCCCCCCCGTTCAATTTTAGGACAGTTGTGGCCAGCGAGTCAGAAAGTTTGCCCACGCCTTGTATACACACTGTTTATCTGAATGCACAGTTGAATCCATGTTTTTCCTTATGAGGAAAAACATTGTCAAGAAAAGTATTAAACTACTTAAACTAGTGTTTCTATCAAACCGTATTGAACCCAGTGATAACAGTTGATAGGACCCAGTGTGTGAACGGTG